TCCTGGTTCATATTTTTAAGGCGTTCTATTTCTAAATTATTAGCACGTTATTTGCTTTTCTAAATCGAACAAAACCTTTTGCTGGTTTACTAAATAATCTTTGTCTACATTTAGCCACTTTGTGTAATAAAATTCTGCAACAAGGGGTGCTGAATGAGATCTTGAATGAGAATAGATATATCAAAATTGTTTGAATCTAGTTTCATAGTGCCTGATTGTAAAGCGTTTTTTGATTTCCTTGAAATGTGCAGGAGTTAAAACTAATTTTTTGTGGATATTCATTTAATTTTTTCGCGCACCAAACCGGCAACTTTTGTAATAAAGTTCGAGTCGTAAACAGGATTTTGGTGTAATTGAAATTCGTTCTTGATGGTATCGGATATTATTTTTAAATTTGGCTGAGAGACTAAGGAATCTTTAACATAAGCTGCACTGTTTCTTTTAAATATCTATCGACGTACATATCTATCCTGTGGTACAAATCGCGATCTGAAATTCCTGACCCCAAATTTTCAAAATGACTAGATTTGACTTGATCGTTTCGACTCCAAATACCAGCAACTACGCTTATAAAATACAATAATAATCATAGCAACTAGAAATTATATAAAAAATACTCTCTGTTAAACTACTATAAATGGCACTTGCAAATTGTAACGACCGGGAAACTAAATCCAAGGCACAATTTGAAAATATGAACACAAATTTAAAAATGACGCTCCTGGGGAACTCAGGACTTCTAGAGTTGTATCTGCAGCATTTTGCAAATAATTGTAACTTCTTTCGGGCAAGGATTGGAGGAGGTTTAAGGCTTCTTCACTTTTCACACCGAAAGATCTTCTAGTGAGTGCAGGTAAGCCAAAGTGCTGAAAATAAAAAAATATATAAAAAATACTCTATATATATATATAATATACATATATATATATACATATATATATATATAATATATATATATAATATTATAAGTGGTCCTTAATATGGACATTTTCGAATTTCCTTCCTTGCTCCCAAGGGCTCAAATGGTTCCAATTGATAAAAAAATTCTCTGAAAGTTTCAGCTCTTAATATTAACTTTTAATATGAAAATAGCATGAAAAATTTTTGAAAATTAAAAAAAAATTTAGGTATAACTTAGCGATAATGAATTAAAAGTGAAAAATTCGTGTCATTTTTTATTGAAAATCGATCGACGCTTTGCATAATTTTCATTCTATTTCCATACAAAACTTTGATTGAATTGCGCACTATCGAAAAGTTAATATTAAGAGCTTAAAACTTTCAGAGAATTGTTTTTTATCAATTTGGAACCGTATGAGCCCTTGGGAGCAAAGTAATTCAAAAATGTCCATATTAAGGACCACCCTAATATATTATATATATATATATATATATATATATATATTTGTAATATTTTTGCAGCCCAATCGTCGAATTAAAAAAAGATTAATAACAAAATTATTTATTCCATTAAACGTTTCGACACTTGATGTGTGTCATCATTCAGTAATCTACAAAACTTATATAAATACAAAGTTGATAACAAATATATGAAAGAAACAATTATATATAGAAAAATTAATTGTGATGTAAAATTGATTGAACACTAAATTGTTTAAAATAATAATAACTATTATATTAACAAACGAGAAATTAAAGGAGCACATAGCGGTACATTATGAACACTGATCAAGGTTACAAAGCAAGTGTAGTGATGATATAATAGTATTATTATTTTACACAAAATTAGTGTTCAATCATTTTACATCATATTAATTTTTTCTGTTTTTCCTGGTTTTGTATGTATAATTAGCTCCTTTTTATATATTTATTTTATTATCAACTTTGTATTTATATAATATGTTTTTTAGATTACTAAAAGATGACACACATCAAGTGTCGAAACGTTTAATGGAATAAATAATTTTGTTATTTAATCTTTTTTTAATTCGACGATTGGGCTGCAAAAATATTACAAATATGTATCAACGTCGACAAACTATCATATATATATATATATATATATATAAAGCGAGAGGTTTTTCTTCAGATGGTGAAATAATATAATAAAATTGTTTCTTGGGCATCCATCCAGTAATTAACGCTCATAACCAATACTACACTGAAGTTACAATCCAAGATTTTGATCATTTTCAAGAACTTTTACAAGTGTTTTTTTAATCTTAACAATGAATTTTCAAAATAACCATAATTTCAATACTATATATGTGAATAGTGCTCTCCATACAAATAAGGTAAGACATAATAATCGTTCCTCTTATCAATCCAACTTACACACAGAATTATAATAATTTTAATAATTCGTCATTTACCGTTACAACAATTATTTTCATAATAGTTTTACACAATGCATTCCTTACTCTTTTCCATCTTTTTTTCGAGTACATTTTCCATTGTTATGGACTACCAAACTCATTTTATTTAAAACTATTTCAAACCTTTTCTCAAACTGGCTATCGTCACCAACAAAAGAACTTTTTTTACTTCGTTGTCGTAAAGAAAACTCCTACCAAATCCTTTGATTTCAAATTAACAAACTTTGATCATCTAAATTCCAATTACTTTAAAAATAAAAAGCTTTCTTTCTCCTTTATGTTGCTGAATCTAGAATCAAACATTGCATTACCTCTATTGATAACATAAATAAATCTCTAAATTACAACATCCAATCCTTATTTTTCCACTATTAATAATCACATTGACATTAACAATTTTTTAGATTTCGAAAACTCTAGATTCAATAATTCTTTTATATGTCAAAAAAATCCTTCATTAAAAAATTCAATACCCTTATTCGAAAAAGTCTAACGAATCCAAATTAAATATAAACCCTGATATCATCAATAAATGGGTTAAAAAACATTTCAGATTTAGACATCCCATCCAATGTTTTGAATATTTTAGCATTAGGTCCCAAATTTTCCATTCCACAACAGAAAAAATCGTTTAATTTTGTCAAAACACTTAGCTCTTTAGAATATAGTTTACGTAATTTAAAAAGATCAATGAAAAAAAAAACCGCATTAAATCTATTTTTGCAACCAACTTAATTCATTTTTCAATTTGACATTTCTAACTTTCATCAACATAAAGAATTACTCAAAGATATCCACCTTTGCAAATCTTTATCAAACAACACCCAGAAATTGTTGTTACCAGGGCAGATAAGGGTAACATGACGGTTATCATGAACAAAGATGACTATATTTCCAAATCCGTGTCCCTCCTAGCTGATATAAACACTTACGAGCCTATAAATTCAGATCCCACCGACCTTATAAATCGGAATACTTTGAAATTCATTGATTCACTCATAGAAAACAACAAATTCCCAAACTCTCTCTCTACAATTAAAAACTTACAATCCCATTTCCCCAAAACTTTATTGTCTTCCCAAAATCCACAAAGATGGCATTCCCCTTCGACCAATAGTTGCTGACTTAAATTCCCCTCTTTGCAAATTATCCAAATTTATTAGTTCAATTTTGTCCAATATCACTCATAATTCTCCCCATTTTGTCAAAATTCTTTTGAACTCATTCCCGAACTTAACTCCCTCAATGTACCATCTGATCTTTCCTTTATAAGTTTAGATGTTGTTTCCCTCTTCACTAACATTTCACCTGACCTTATCCTCTCTGCCATAGACCATAAATGGCTGATATCAGCAACACACACAGATTTCAATTTTTCTTGGTTCCTGAAATGTATTAATTCATTATTTCCAATACTTATTTTTCGTTCAACGACTCCTTTTTTAAACAAAATTTGGCA